TCCAGAAACCACTATACGTTAATGAAACAACAGAATTTAACAGGAAGAAAAGAATTAGGAGAATTTTGTGAACAGTTTGCTTATGAACCTGGCATAAAATATCCTAATAAATCCAGAAAGCTGTCTCATAAAAAACCTTCCAAACCATACAGGAAAAAGTCCTCCGAGACTAGCCACCCGAAACCTACTAAGAATTTTTATCCCAAGAAATCTACCAGTAAATCAAAAGGAAAATCTAAATCAGAAGTAAAATGCTACAAATGTGGACAAACAGGACATTATGCTAATAGATGTAAATCTAAAGCTGAATCCAAGGTTAATGAATTAAACCTTGATCCAAAAATTAAAGAACAGTTAAGTACCAGTGCAAGTGGAAATTCTCTCCAGATCAGGTATAAAGTTCCAGAAGCATATATTTGTAATCAAGACCTTTGTCTTCCCACATCATTTGTGTTAGTCAGAAATCTTGCTACAAATATCATTTTAGGCACACCTTTTCTTTGTCTTTTAATGCCTATCCAGAAAATTGATTCAACAGGAATTTACTCTCAACTTCAGGGTAAAACAATAATTTTTAAATTTATTACTCAACCGTATACTAAAGAATTAGATCAAATTCATGATTTAATTTCTGTTAAACAAAATCAGATAAATTTAATTCAAAAAGAAGTCTCTTTTTTAACAACAGAACAAAGGTTAAGTCAACCTGCTTTTCAACAGAAAATTAAATTAATTGAAAAAGAATTTCAAACAGAAGTATGTGGTACTGTTCCTAATGCTTTTTGGAATCGCAAAAAATATACTGTAACTTTACCATATGAACCAGATTTTGATGAAAAATATATTCCAACTAGAGCTCGCCCTAGTCAGATGAAAAAGGAATATATGGAATTATGTAAAACAGAAATTCAAAGTCTTCTTGAAAAGAAACTTATCCGTCCCAGCCACTCCCCGTGGAGTTGTACCGCTTTTTATGTTAATAAAAACGCTGAGTTAGAACGAGGTGTTCCCCGCCTTGTAATTAACTACAAACCGTTAAATGATAAATTGAAATGGATTCGTTATCCTATTCCGAATAAAAAGGATCTTTTAGAACGTCTCCAAGATGCCATAATTTTTTCCAAATTTGATTTAAAATCAGGATATTGGCAAATTGAAATTGCTGAACAGGATCGCTATAAAACAACCTTTACCGTACCCTTTGGGCATTATGAATGGAATGTCATGCCTTTTGGCTTGAAAAATGCCCCATCAGAATTCCAGCATATCATGAATGATATTTTTAATCCTTTTACAGAATTTACTTTATCTTATATTGATGATGTTTTGATTTTCTCTTCATCAATTGACCAGCATGTTAAACATCTTAATATTTTTAAGAATGTTATTATCCGAAATGGTTTAGTTCTTTCTGCACCAAAAATGCAATTGTTCCAAACCACCATCAGATATTTAGGCCATAATATTTCTAATGGAAGTATTATTCCTATTAACCGAAGTATGGAGTTTGTTTCTAAATTTCCTGATGAAATTAAAGACAAAACTCAATTACAGCGATTTTTAGGCAGTCTTAATTATGTTAGAGACTATTATCATAATTTATCTGCTGATGCTAACATCTTATATACCAGGTTAAGGAAGAATCCTCCACCTTGGTCACCAGAACATACTTTAGCAGTTCAAAAAATTAAAGCTAAAGTCCAACAGTTACCTTGTCTTAATTTACCTAATCCTGAATGGAAGAAAATTGTTGAAACAGATGCTTCCAATGAAGGATTTGGTGGTATTTTAAAACAGTTTAATCCCAAAACTCAGAAAGAAGAACTTTTACGTTTTCATTCTGGGCATTGGAATCAAGCTGCTTTAAACTATCCGACCATTAAACAGGAATGTTTAGCCATTGTAAAATGTGTTATGAAATTCCAGGATGATTTATTAAACCAGCATTTTCTCATCAGAGTTGACTGCTCTGCTGCTAGACAGATATTTAAACAGGATGTTAAAAATCTTGTTTCTAAACAGATATTCGTAAGCTGGCAGGGTTATTTATCCAATTTTGATTTTGATATTGAATATATTAAAGGAGAAACTAACTCTTTGCCTGACTTTTTGACCCGTGAATATTTGCAAAAATCAGCAAATGACCAGTAGAGGCCAAAGAGGTCGCGGTCGTGGCCGGGGCTCTAACCCCCGCTATGATCCATCCGAATATCCACCCCTCTCTCGAGGAGGTCAAACCAGTAATCCAACGGCTAAGGATGTCCTCCTTAGACCGTATAGCGATCCCGGTTTTACCCTTGTTGTACAGTGATCCGGACATGTGTCCGTGGATGATAGTAATTGATTATTGTCTTGTTTACATCTGTTACTACTTTGTATATTGAGTTATAGGATGTGTTGGACAGGTTTGTTACAGGTCGGTTGTGTTTGGGAGCCTAGTGCTGCTGCCCAGATTTTTGGACCTTCGCTCGAGCGAGGAGTTGGTCGCTCGAGCGAGAGTTGAGTTCGTGTCTGGTGGATTGAGCCAAAGTGGCTTCGCTCGAGCGAGCGATTGCGTCTGGTTCTGGACCTGAGAGCTGCATTTCTTGGCTCGAGCGAGTTTTCTTCGCTCGAGCGGTCTGGTTTGTTCTTCGCTCGAGCGAGAAGTCTGTCGCTCGAGCGTGCTTCTGGTTGTAGACTTGAGGGTTTGAGTTGTTGGCTCGAGTGTGCATTCTTTCGCTCGAGCGCACTTCTGAGTTTTCAGCTCGAGCAAGAACTTCTTGGCTCGAGCGAGAGTTTTCTGTATCTGGTCGCTCGAGCGACAAAGGCTTCGCTCGAGCGAGCGTGTTTTATATCAGCGGTCAGTAGCGTTTTTGAACATCAGTTTTTCACTTCCTTTTCTTTCAAACCCTAGATCCGAGACTCTCTCTCTCTAAACCTACACTCTCTCTAAGATTTGATCTCCCTAGAGTGTGAAAGTGTGTATCTTCAGCCAGAGTTTCAATATTGGTAAATGGTTCGCCAACCTCAAAATTTAGCTTGCAAAGAGGTCTTAGACAGGGTGACCCACTATCATCCTTTCTTTTTAACATTGTGATTGAGGGACTAAATATCCTACTGGCACTACTAAAAATCAGACTTTTTGCAACAGTCTCAAACGTCGCAAAAGGTCGATATATCGTCGCAAAAAGTCTTTTGCAACGGAGCAGCGACGGGAAATGGGGGCTCACAGAAGCGGGCATGACAAAAAGTATTTGCAACGGTTACAAACCGTTGCGTTCTTGTAGCGACGGCTAATCAATGGTTTTTGTGACAGTTTAACCTGACACAAAAAAGGAGAAAAAACATCACTTTTTAGTGATGATATTGGTTGTCGTTGCCAAAACTTTTTTTGCGACGATATTTGACGTCGCGAAAAGTATTATTAGCGACGGTCTAAAACGTCACAAAAAAGCAAAATTAAATTAATACCATGTTTGCGACAGTTTAAACCATCGCTAAAGATTTAAACTAATATGTATATACTACAGGTTAACCCGTTGCTAATAAAATGTAAAGAAATGATGATTACATTAGCGACGGTTATTATTGTCGCAATAAAATTATTTTCATAAAATCAATATATATTTTATTAATTCATTCCCTGTGCAAATTATTAATATTTTCTAAAATAAAATATATCCACATTCATATTCACAAAATCATACGTATATATTTACCCTGCAACAATTATCAACCAAATATTCTTTACAAAAATATATAAAACATTCTCTAACAATACTAATAACTTTTTGCTTATCTGTTGAAAAAGGGAAAATGGAAAGTAACCTAGACTCATAAGTCGTACGGCATAAATATGTGATTTATGTGAATGTGTCAGTGTTAGCCATCTATCAATTGCTATTCTTTTAGTCATTGTTCATGGTTGGTTTAGTGTATTTCTACTGGGTTGTGGCTCACCCTATATGGGAATATCATTTTCAGGTACAGGTAGCATGCCACCTCCAAGGACATAGCTTGGGAGGCTAGAGGCGGACATACTTTTGTCGTTTTATTTTTGATGTATTACATGTAAATTCAAGCCAAGGACTTAACGTGTAAATGAGTTAGTACTCTTTTGTTGTAACCAAGTGTTAACTTGGAAAGCTGTAAGCCCATAGAGCATTTGCTTTTGTTGTTAACATGTAATACTTTTTGTAATGAAACCCTGATAAATGGAAGAATGTGGAACTTTTACATATCAATGCATAGCTTTATTGATGGGTTTAATGTTGTTATTTTGAGGGCGTTACAGACCGGAAGATCCGTATACTCCAAACAGTCTGACAGAGGAAACAGTCCTTTGGATTGAAGCCTCCGATGAACAGTGGATGACAGACCCGTGGGAGATCAAACGCCGTTATCTCACCACTCAACAGTCACTTCCACACTTTGACCAGTACAGATATATTTATGAACTGATAATGATTGAAACTGGAGCTGCTGAAATCAAGCATACGCTGCATGATGTCAACAAGGCTTCCAGTCCTATTCAATACAGTAAAATCGTTATCCGTCATATCATGCCCATTTCTACTTGGGGCATTCATCCGCATACTACCCAAGATCTAGATCTCCGGAATAAACAGTGTAAATACTCATACTGGGATTATATTGATGCCTTTACCCAGGTCTTTTACTACCAGAATCCAATCAAGAATCATTCTTGGTTCATCCGTGTTCTGTCCGATGTTCTCAAAAACGATGTTCCTAATTGGTTCCTCGTTTGGTGGGATAAGTTCGGACTTTCTCTTGGCATCTTACCAGAATCTGTTCGAACCGAATATAATGAATGGCATGTGGCCTACTCCCGTGCATATTCATTCTAAAATAAAAACAGAGAATTATCTATCAGTAAATCAATTGTCCATTTCTCAATCCGTTTTGGGATTCCATGGATTTGGAAATGGGACTTTACCTGTGATTATCATAATAAGGTTCCCCATTTAAAAAGAGTCTTCTTTGTTAAATGGTGGGATAAGATGGATCTTAAGGATCTCATTCCAAAAATTCAACAGCACACCAAAGCTGGCTGGGAATCAGTCAAACAACCAGCACTTCCAGCACCATCCTCTTCTCCAGTCTCTAATCCTTTTGTCTAGATCCAAAAGGAGCTAAAACAGAAATATCCCCATCTTTCAGACAATGAATTAATTGTCAAAAGTATGGATTATCTGAAGGAACAATTTCTCCAATCTGTTAATCCAGAAGATGACGTATCTATGAGATCAGGTACCAGTCAGGCTCCTTCTGAGCCAGCGTCAGATCCAGCCGAACACGTATTGGCCGGTGAGTCACAATCTGAAGATGATGAAGAACCCAATCTTGGTGACTTTTGGGATTCTCTTACAACTGTACTCATGGAAAAGATGGCCAAAGACAAATCCAATAAAGGCAAGGGCCCCGAGCTTTAGGCGTCGGTACAACAGGACAAGCAACTTTTGCAAAAGCAGATATTATCAACAGAAAAAGGAAGATGCTGTTCCCCATTCCGAAAAGTTGAAGATAAGTTGATAAGGAGGAATTCTGTCGGTTCAATCGAAGAAGGCCACATGTCTTTATGTAATAATGTAATCTTATCTTCCTAGTAGTATTTATAGGGATGCCTTCACCCTTGTTGAGGCACTTAGAAATTTTCAGATTTTCTTTCCTTTTCAGTTTTTCCTTCTCTTGTAATCTCTTTCCAACCCCCTCTTGTAAAATATTTTACTTCCTCAATAAAAGTTTGCACCTCGTGTTTAAATATGTATGCCCTCTGTTGATTTATTCGAATCACTATTATCAGCCCAAAGATTTTGGTTACAACAGCAACAATTTTATCTTAGCCTTCCACCAGACCGTTATACTCAACAGTACATATCAGAACGGTTAGCCACTTGTGAGCAGTATCTACAGGAAATCCAGGTGCAGATCCAAGAGCATCTGGTGGTGTGGGCGGCCAGAAGGCCTCCACCACCCCAACAGTAAAGGTATTATGAGATCATATATGTCCTAATTTGTTTTATTTATATCATTATTATGTGTGTATTAATTCTTGGGTTTGTGCTTGTGTAAGGTTAATTAAATGTTAGGGTTAGTGGGACGTCACCCAAGTCGCGTAGGGTTTAGGTCGTGTTGCAGAGAGTGCGTTTGACCGTTTGATGCCCGTAAGTCGTTAACAGACGTGCTAGCCTCAACCTTTTGTGAGCACCTTTCATGGACCTCTCATCCAGCATAACATAGATGATGTTATCCAGACAGACAGAGGTAACGTATACCTCCGATTCCAGACATCACTAACTTTAAGTTAAAATCGTCTAATACTGAGTTTATGGACACTCTTTTACAGAAAATGCAGACACTTAATGTCCGCCCTCCAGACCCTTCTAAGCCTCCAGGACAATCTAGCAGTGGATCTATCCACATGCTACGCGCTGAATCCAGCCCTGATCAGGATACTTCATCACCAGAACAAATTCAGGAAATTCAATTGAACTTTCAGGAACCCTCATCGGTAAACAAGCTAAACTATTACAGTTCCGCTAAACCATGATTTTTACCCCATACCAGAAACTACTATTCCAGACCTACTCCTCCAGATATTCTTTATGAAGAAGCTTATCTTAATGAACAGAATAGTTACCATGGTAAAACCATTTATGAATGGAATATTGATGGTGAATCAGAATTTGGCATTTATAAGAAGTTACATCAAATGATGATGTATGCTACTGTTTGTCACCAATACAGTAATAATGACCAGGCCATTGCTAAGTTTATTATTAATGGCTTTACCGGGGTTCTCAAAGGTTGGTGGGATAATATTATGACTCCCATCCAACAAACTGAGATATTAACCGCAATCAAATTAGAACTTGACCCGACTACCAATCAGCAAGTCCAACAGCCAGATGCTGTCTATACTCTTATCCAGACCATTATTTACCATTTTGTTGGTACCAGTACATCTACTCAGGACCGTGGTCGTGAGCTTCTCCAGAATTTGCGTTGTCCATCCTTAACCCATTTCCGATGGTACAAGGATGTTTTCCTTCTTAAGGTTACTCAACGCCCTGATGCTAACAGTACTCACTGGAAAGCCAAATTTATTGATGGCCTTCCTACCCTCTTTGCCGAGCGAGTTAGGAAAAAACTTTGGGACCGCCATGACCGGATGTCTATTCCTTATGAGCAGTACACATATGGACAACTCTGTTCCATTATAACAGATGAAGGTCTTTCTCTCTGTAATGACCTTAAACTTCATTATCAAATGAAACAACAGAATTTAACAGGAAGAAAAGAACTAGGAGAATTTTGTGAACAGTTTGCTTATGAACCTGGCATAAAATATCCTAATAAATCCAGAAAGTTGTCTCATAAAAAATCTTCCAAACCATACAGAAAAAAGTCCTCTAAGACTAGCCACCCGAAACCTACTAAGAAGTTTTATCCCAAGAAATCTACCAGTAAATCAAAAGGAAAATCTAAATCAGAAGTAAAATGCTACAAATGTGGACAAACAGGACATTATGCTAATAGATGTAAATCTAAAGCTAAATCCAAGGTTAATGAATTAAACCTTGATCCAGAAATTAAAGAATAGTTAATTCAAGCTTTAGAAGCCGAAGAAATTTCAACTGATGATGAAATCCCTTCTGATGATGAGCTTAACCAGTTATACTCTACTTCTTCCGAGGAAGATGAACCAGAAGAATCCTGTCCCTGTAGTACCAATCAGGAACAAATATCAGAAATTAATTACTGGAAATCCATAGTGGAAATGAATGGTTTACACTTAGGAGAACCAAGTAGTATTAATGTCTTAACAGATACCCAAAAGGATATGCTAGCGGTAGCAGACCAGATCCAGGATCCATAAATAAAAATTAAATATTTAAAAATGTGTTATGATCACCAGCAAACTATAACAGAAACCCCTCCTATACCAGATTATTCTTATAATCTTCAAACAGTCATCAATAGAATTCAAACTAAATCAGTAGTGGAACAGCCAACTACTCTCCAGGACTTAAAAATGGAAATTAATATCCTCAAAACAGAAGTTAAACACTTGCAAACTGCCAGTGAAGCTGCCATCAAAGATATTAAATATCTTCATACCCAAATTCCCAAACAGAAAGAAAAAGAAAGTGAACAAAAACTTGATCTTAACAAGGAAGAACCAGAAGCCTCTACTCCGTATCTTTTGCTTGTTAATCAGGTCACTTTTCAGAAATGGTATATCAAAATTTCTTTTATGATTAAACCGGATTTTATCATTAAGGATGCTATTGCCTTAGTTGATAGCGGAGCTGATATGAACTGTATCCAAGAAGGTATAGTTCCAACCAGATACTATGAAAAGACTACCCAGAGTCTTACCAGTGTAAGTGGAAGTTCAATCCAGAAACCACTATACGTTAATGAAACAACAGAATTTAACAGGAAGAAAAGAATTAGGAGAATTTTGTGAACAGTTTGCTTATGAACCTGGCATAAAATATCCTAATAAATCCAAAAAGCTGTCTCATAAAAAACCTTCCAAACCATACAGGAAAAAGTCCTCTAAGACTAGCCACCCGAAACCTACTAAGAAGTTTTATCCCAAGAAATCTACCAGTAAATCAAAAGGAAAATCTAAATCAGAAGTAAAATGCTACAAATGTGGACAAACAGGACATTATGCTAATAGATGTAAATCTAAAGCTAAATCCAAGGTTAATGAATTAAACCTTGATCCAGAAATTAAAGAACAGTTAAGTACCAGTGCAAGTGGAAATTCTCTCCAGATCAGGTATAAAGTTCCAGAAGCATATATTTGTAATCAAGACCTTTGTCTTCCCACATCATTTGTGTTAGTCAGAAATCTTGCTACAAATATCATTTTAGGCACACCTTTTCTTTGTCTTTTAATGCCTATCCAGAAAATTGATTCAACAGGAATTTACTCTCAACTTCAGGGTAAAACAATAATTTTTAAATTTATTACTCAACCGTATACTAAAGAATTAGATCAAATTCATGATTTAATTTCTGTTAAACAAAATCAGATAAATTTAATTCAAAAAGAAGTCTCTTTTTTAACAACAGAACAAAGGTTAAGTCAACCTGCTTTTCAACAGAAAATTAAATTAATTGAAAAAGAATTTCAAACAGAAGTTTGTGGTACTGTTCCTAATGCTTTTTGGAATCGCAAAAAGTATACTGTAACTTTACCATATGAACCAGATTTTGATGAAAAATATATTCCAACTAGAGCTCGCCCGAGTTAGATGAAAAAGGAATATATGGAATTATGTAAAACAGAAATTCAAAGACTTCTTGAAAAGAAACTTATCCGTCCTAGCCACTCCCCGTGGGGTTGTACCGCTTTTTATGTTAATAAAAACGCTGAGTTAGAACGAGGTGTTCCCCGCCTAGTAATTAACTACAAACCGTTAAATGATAAATTGAAATGGATTCGATATCCTATTCCGAATAAAAAGGATCTTTTAGAACGTCTCCAGGATGCCATAATTTTTCCAAATTTGATTTAAAATCAGGATATTGGCAAATTGAAATTGCTGAACAGGATCGCTATAAAACAGCCTTTACCGTACCCTTTGGGCATTATGAATGGAATGTCATGCCTTTTGGCTTGAAAAATGCCCCTTCAGAATTCCAGCATATCATGAATGATATTTTTAATCCTTTTACAGAATTTACTTTATCTTATATTGATGATGTTTTGATTTTCTCTTAGACCGAAAAAGTTAAATAAAAATAAAAATGGAAGTGGCAGAAAATTAAAAATGGAAGTTCATTCAAGAAACCACTATACCTTAACGATCTATTTGGAAATTAAATAAAAAAGGAAGTCGAATAGAAAAATAACTTGAACAAAAATGGAAATTGCAGAAAATTAAAAATGGAAGTTCATTCAAGAAACCACTATACCTTAATGATCTATTTGGCAATTAAATAATATAGGAAGTTTAATAGAAAAGCAAATTGAATAAAAATGGAAGTTGAATAAAAACAAAAATGAATGTTGTATAAAATTAAAAATGAAAGTTCAATCTAGAAACCACTATACCTTAACGATCTATTTGGAAATTAAATAAAAAAGGAAGTTGAGTAGAAAAGAAACTTGAATGAAAAAGGAAGTTAAATAAAAATAAAAATGGAAGTTCATTCAAGAAACCACTATACCCTAACGATCTATTTGGAAATTAATTAAAAAAAGAAGTTCAGTAGAAAAGAAAATTGAATAAAAATGGAAGTTGAATAAAAATAAAAATGAAAGTTGCATAAAATTAAAAATGAAAGTTCAATCCAGAAACCACTATACCTTAACGATCTATTTGGAAATTAAATAAAAAGGAAGTTGAGTAGAAAAGAAACTGATTGAAAAAGGAAGTTAAATAAGAATAAAAATGGAAGTTACAGAAAATTAAAAATGGAAGTTCATTCAAGAAACCCACTATACCTTAACGATTTGAAAATGGAAATTCATTCAAGAAACCACTATACCTTAACGATCTATTTGGAAATTAAATAAAAAAGGAAGTTTAATAGAAAAGTAAATCGAATAAAAATAAAAATGAAAGTAGCATAAAATTAAAAATGGAAGTTCAATCCAGAAACCACTATACGTTAACGATCTATTTGGAAATTAAATAAAAAATGAAGTTGAACAGAAAAGAAACTTCAATAAAAATGGAAGTTACTTAAAAAAAAATGGAAGTTGTAGAAAATTAAAAATGGAAGTTCATTCAAGAAACCACTATACCTTGACGATCTATTTGGAAATTAAATAAAAAAGGAAGTTTAATAGAAAAGTAAATTGAATAAAAATGGAAGTTGAATAAAAATAAAAATGAAAGTTGCATAAAATTAAAAATGAAAGTTCAATCCAAAAACCACTATACCTTAACGATCTATTTGAAAATTTAATAAAAATGGAAGTTGAGTAGAAAAGAAACTTTAACGAAAAAGGAAGTTAAATAAAAATAAAAACTGAAGTTGCATCAAATTAAAAATGGAAATTCATTCAAGAAACCACTATACCTTAACGATCTATTTGGAAATTAAACAAAAAATGAAGTTTAATAGAAAAGTAAATTGAATAAAAACGGAAATTGAATAAAAATAAAAATGAAAGTTGCATAAAATTAAAAATGGAACTTCAATCCAGAGACCACTATACGTTAACAATCTATTTGGAAATTAAATAAAAATGGAAGTTGAACAGAAAAGTAACTTGAATAAAAATGGAAGTTACTTAAAAATAAAAATGGAAGTTGCAGAAAATTAAAAATGGAAATTCATTCAAGAAACCACTATACCTTAACGATCTATTTGGAAATTAAATAAAAAAGGAAGTTTAATAGAAAAGTAAATTGAATAAAAATGGAAGTCGAATAAAAAGAAAAGTGAAAGTTGTATAAAATGAAAAATGGAAGTTCAATCCAGAAACCAGTATATCTTAACGATCTATTTGGAAATTAAATAAAAAAGGAAGTTTAACAGAAAAGTAAATTGAATAAAAATGGAAATTGAATAAAAATAAAAATGAAAGTTGCATAAAATTAAAAATGGAAGTTCAATCCAGAAACCAGTATACCTTAACGATCTATTTGGAAATTAAATAAAAAAAGAAGTTTAATAGAAAAGTAAATTGAATAAAAACAGAAATTGAAAAAAAATAAAAATGAAAGTCGCATAAAATTAAAAATGGAAGTTCAATCCAGAAACGAGTATACCTTAACGATCTATTTGGAAATTAAATAAAAATGGAAGTTTAATCGAAAAGTAAATTGAATAAAAATGGAAGTTGAATAAAAATGAAAATGAAAGTTGCATAAAATTAAAAATGAGAGTTCAATCCAGAAACCGCTATACCTTAACGATCTATTTGGAAATTAAATAAAAAAGGAAGTTGAGTAGAAAAGAAACTGATTGAAAAAGGAAGTTAAATAAGAATAAAAATGGAAGTTGCAGAAAATTAAAAATGGAAATTCATTCAAGAAACCACTATACCTTAACAATCTATTTGGAAATTAAATAAAAAAGGAAGTTTAAAAGAAAAGTAAATTGAATAAAAATGGAAGTTGAATAAAAATAAAAATGAAAGTTGCATAAAATTAAAAATGGAAGTTCAATCTAGAAACCACTATACGTTAACGATATATTTGGAAATTAAATAAAAAATGAAGTTGAACAGAAAAGTAACTTGAATAAAAATGGAAGTTACTTAAAAAAAAAATGGAAGTTGCAGAAAATTAAAAAAGGAAGTTCATTCAAGAAACTACTATACCTTAACGATCTATTTGGAAATTAAATAAAAAAGCAAGTTCAATAAAAATAAAAATGAAAGTTACATAAAATTAAAAATGAAAGTTCAATCCAGAAACCACTATACCTTAACTATCTATTTGAAAATTAAATAAAAAAAGAAGTTGAGTAGAAAAGAAACTGATTGAAAAAGGAAGTTAAATAAGAATAAAAATGGAAGTTGCAGAAAATTAGAAATGGAAGTTCATTCAAGAAACCACTATACCTTAACGATCTATTTGGAAATTAAATAAAAAAGAAAGTTCAATAGAAAAATAACTTGAATAA